ACCTTCTGCACAAGACGGCCCGCATCTTCATGTGAGTGGGGCGGGTGCAGCGACTGCCCCAGCCAGGCCAAGAGCCACTCAGTACCTGCACAATCTTTGATTTCCTGTCACTTTGTGCAAGCTATGCTCTAGAGGTGCCATCCTCGGGTCCCCAGTCCCACCCCTGCCCTCAGAGTCACGACCGGAAATCTGACCCCTCGCCTGGCAGTGACAGCACAGCGTGAGCAGAGCTTTGGTGATGGTGGGAGACAGAGCACACAGGTGGGGACACCTAATCAGTCCCAGAAGTGGCAGCAAGGCAGGGAGCTGTGGGACGAGTGGAGGTCACCAGGAGCACAGGCAGAGCTAGGGGGTGGTACCGAGGATCCAGGTGCTGGCATCCAGGGCCCACAGGGGCATTGTCAGCCGCGGTGTGGGGCAGGGAGGGTCTGGTGTGGAGTGGTCTGAGGGAGGAATCACTGGAGGCAGGGGGCCTGGCAGGGAGGCAGTCATGGCATCTGAGAGACAAAGTCTGTGGCAAGTGCAGACCTTCCAGACCTGGAGAGCCAGAGGCCTAGAGTCCTGGGACACCAAGTACACAGCAGAGAGGGCTTGAGGCACCCCCAGCAGGACCCCCAGGTCACTCTCAGATGTTTCTGCCAGCACCTGGTCACTGTGCAGTTTTTCCAGTGTCCCGCTTCTTATCCCCACTCTGTTCCCAGCCCTCCAGGGCCACAAAGAGCTTTTTTCATTAATTGTTTTGTTTGTTTTGGGGTTTGGGGGTTTTATTTTAGTGGGTTTTTTGTTTTGTTTCTGTGGGTTTTTTGAGACAGAATTTCAAGGCTCTGTATTCCAGGTTTTGCTTAAATTGGCAGCAGTTCTCCTGCCTCAGCCACTCAAGTGCTGGGATCACAGGCATGCACTATCACCGCTAACCACACAGGGTTCTGAGTACACAGACTGGTCTCATTTTACAGAGGTCCTGGCGGCCACTGTCCCAGAAGAAGTGGGTACAGGGGGAGGCGTGGACCAGAGGAGGGGTGTCTGGCCCGTGGTGCAGCCCAGCCCAAGGGCTCAGTCCCCCCTTTGCCTCACAGCCTCAGCAAATTTGCAGAACCTGGGTCAAGGCCCTCTTCTTCCAAAGGTCTCTTGGTTTCCTCCCGTGTCATGGGACTCAAGAGTCCCGCCTCAGGGTTGCCCCGACTCGGCAGAGAACTGGTGAGGGAACATTCTGACCGGCGCTGCTCCTCTCGCCCACAGGCACCACCTCTGCCGCTCCCGACACTACTGCCACGACGTGGCCCACTGCGCAGCGGAGTTGCACACCCAGGTGGAGCGGCTGGTGCGGCAGGCTGGCCAGCAGGCCGACTCCTCGGTCGCCCTCTATTACTTCAATGCCTCCCTCTACCTGCTGCGCGTCCTGAAGGGCAATGCTAACAAGAAGCACACACCGGAAGGCCAGCAGTGGGAAGGAGACAGTGCCGGTGGTGGCCCCGAGGACCCAGGCCCTCAGGTGAGGGGGCTTGGTCCCTGAGAGCTGCAGGAAGAGCCAGGCCCCAGCTCTCAGCTTTCTGTATGCCGTCCGGGCCCGCCCAAGCCTCACCCCATCCTCTCACCTGGCCTAGACCGCCAACTGCCTGGACTTGGACCTCGTGACCCCGGTGTACTCGGCAGCGCTAAACTCCTTCCTGACCAAGCGCAACAGCCCCTTCACCGTCCCCATGTTTCTCACCCTCTTCTCCCGGTACCCGGTGAGTGTCCAGCCACCCCTGCCCCTCGGGCTACCCCTACACATCCCAGGCCCCACCTCATGGCCCCTGTTAACTTCCTGCCCTCCCAGGTGATCTGTAAGAGTCTGCTCCCTATCCTGCTCCAGCACATGACTGGCTCAGCACGGGCCCGCCAGCAGGTAAGGGCCTTCCCAGATCCCACCAGGCCTGCCTGAATTGTGCACTTCATCCCCTTCTGCCGGGGTGTGTGAAGCTCAGGAGCCGTGCCCTGCCGACCTTGGCTATCGGGCATGTCGTCTGACAGGCAGGACAGCTATGCTGTGGCCCTTCACACCATTGGTATCAGATCTGAGGAGACAGGTCTGGCTTTGTCCCTGTAGCCACCACTTCCTACCCAGCCTGAGCCCTCCAGCTCCCATGAGAGCCAGTCCTCTTGCCTATACAGAAGGATGCCCAGCATTGCCCAGTCTGTCAGGTACCCTGGCTGTTGGGCAGGCAGCAGGAGAGATGGTGCTAAGCTAGTTAGAGGGCCTGGAGCTGTTTCAACCTGAGGTCCTATCCCCATCCCTCTGGGAGCCCAGTCTGTACCCAGGCCTCAGTGTCCCTCACCTACACAAGAGTGGGTTATTGCAGGGCCGAGGACAGCAGGCAGCCCCCGCCCCATGTACCACCTGGAGTTACCTTGTTCTTATCAGGTGTGTGGCGGTCCCTGAGCCTCAGCCTGCAGAAGCTAGGTTCCTAGTAACCACGTTCTCTCCTCAGGCCCAGGCCTGCCTGCTACTGCAAAAGACCCTGTCTGCACGGGAGCTGAGGGCATGTTTTGAGGACCCTGAGTGGGAGCAGCTGATTGCCCAGGTCCTGGTGAAGGTCACTGAGGTAAGAGCCTGGAGCTCCCTCCTCCAACCCACCGAGAAAGGTGCTCCAGAACCTGAGCCTCCCTCCAGAGTGGGATTTGGGTGGTCCCAGGGATGTGCTCTTCCTCTGGGCTTTAGTCTCAGGCCAGGAAATGGGCCTCCAGCAGGGACTCCATTCTGCATACCTCAGCCTGGCCCCTCCTCCCTAGAACCTGTGCACGCTGGGCGAGGCGCAGAGCAGGTCGGAGCACCAGAAGCAGCTGACCTCCCTGGAGCTGCTCAACACTCTGTTCAAGATCACCCACCAAGAGGTGAGCCGCCGGCCCACAGAGCTGCGCCTGGGACGGAGCAGGCAGCCCTCAGGGTCCAGGCAGCAGACTACGGAGTAGTCAGGGCTTGTGGAGCAGGGGGGAGATCAGCAAGGGCCACAGAGGGAAGGTCCTGTATGCCAGGGTGAGGACTCCCAAGCTGTGTTGATGTGATTATCTTACCACTGAAGGGTGAATGTGAATGACTTGGGTGGCAGTGTGCCACCTGTCCCTGACAGAATGGAGGTGAGAAGGTTCTAGGAAGAGAGCAGAGAAGGGCAGGAGACAGTGGGAGGAGGTACAGGTTCTGAGTTGACAGCAGTCAGTGTGGAGTCCAGGTGTCCAAGCCTGGTGCAAGAGGGCAGGGAGCAGCACTGACAAGTTGGGGCCCAGTAGGGTGTGACCTGCTCACAGTACATCAGGGGGGAGGGCCCAGAGGTGGCTGGGGGATGGGCATCTGGATCCCCAAGCCTGGCCCGAAATCAGGCTTTAGGAGACTTAGCACCGACAGACCCTCAGAGCCCAAATGGAGGGGGAGCTTGGTCTTTGATCATTGCTGAGGGGAGAGGCAGGTGGCAGCAAAGTAAGGGGTAGAACTAAGCAACTGCCCTCGGGTGGAAAGGAAACCAGGAGGGTGGGGGCCTGGAAGCTGGTGGGTTTCAGAAATCACCTCCCAGTGCACAGCCGGCCGGAAGAGGGATGGGGCGGACTTCGGCACCTGGGGAGGACTGAGTGGCGCTCTCAGAAACGTTCGGTCAGAACCATGGCAGGAGAGGGGCTGGTGGGAGGTAAGAAAGCAGAGAACAGCCTGTAGCCATGGCAAAGGGAACAGACACGGATGTGGGGACTTGTTTCCTCCCAGAGGGGAGAGGCTGGTGATTGACGGGCAGGGGTGGCTGAGGGCCCGTGAGCAAACAGGGGCCCCTGGAGAGTAGGTCTCACACCTGGGCAGGGCAGGGAGCTGGAGCCTAGGCGCCAAAGAGAGGCCCTGCCTCCCATCACCACTGCAGCTCCAGGCTTTGCTTCTTCTGCAGGAGCTGACTGTGGACCTGACCGCTGTCCTGGGTGTGCTGCAAGGCCAGCAGCAGAACCTGCAGCAGGGCGAGCGCTCAGCCGGCTCCAACCGCCTCTGCGACCTGTACTGGCAGGCCATGAAGACGCTCGGAGTCCAGTAGGTTCTGAGAAGGAAGACCCACACTTGGGCAGGGGCTGGAAAGACCCGCACTCCAGTGCTGCACATGCTGTGGTGTGCATGCTTGGGTGTGGGAGCTCTGGGCACTTGGGTCCCAGAGGACCCCAAGGTGGAGGTGACCCCTGCCCTCACTGGGTGCTTTCTTACCCTGCTCACGTCCTCCTAGGCGCCCCAAGGTGGAGAAGAAGGACGCCAAAGAAGTCCCCAGTGCCTCTGAGAGCCCTGTCAGCGTGAAGCGGAAGAAAAAGGGATTCTTGCCAGAGACCAAAAAGCGTAAGAAGCGCAAGTCGGAGGGGCCCACACCAGAGGAGAGGCCCGCGCCAGAGGGAGCCGCTCGTCCAGCCACTGGTGGCGACCAGCCCCCCAGCACAGGCAAGAAGAAGAGGAAAAGGATGAAGGCCAAGGTCCTGGCCCAACCCGAAGTGAATGGGACCCCTGCCACCAAGAGCCCAGCCCCTGACACCCTCGCCTTGAGCCCCAGCACCAAGACTCCAGAGCTGGAGAAGAAAAGCAGAAGGCCGTCACAGGCGAATGGAGACAATGCTATGCCCGCCACAGAGCCTTCAGGCAAAAAGCAGCATCAGAACGCTCTTTCCAAAAAGGGAATCTCGGGCAAGTCCCCACAGTCTGCCCTGTTGCGGAAGAGGGCAAGGCTGGCTGTGGTCAGGAGCCCCAGCCTGTTCCAGAGCGGGGCCAAGAGAAAGAAGCTGCTGCGGAAGAAGCTGAGAACACCCTGAGCGCTGGGCCCTCCGTCCCCGCCCAGCAGCCCTCCAGACTCCTATTTTTCCACCATGATTTTAATAAACGAGCCTAAGGCAGCAGCTTCTGGTTCTGAGGAGTGGGTCTGTTGCCAGCCTGGCTGGTGTTACCTTGCAGGTGTCACCACTCCTCAGGTGAGCCCCCACCCGCTCTACTTACTATAGGAACCACCAGGACATGATTTAAATAGGTTTATTTCTTCATTTACAAGAGGAATATATTTGGCTTCTCTCTTAAGATTCTGAGATTCACAATCAGCAGCTCTAAAAAATAAAGGAGCAGTTTGGCTTCCGGAAGGAAGAGGAGGCAACACTTGGACCTGGTTCTTGTACAACAAGAAAACATTGCTGGGGCCCCAGGTGAGGGTGGGGTGGAGGCCAGGCTGGTCTTTGGGGGATACCACCCCGTCCAGCCCCCAGGGTGCCCCAGAGCTTGGTAGGGTGGGTATTCCACTAGCTAACACACCACTGAAGCCACAGCCAGCCAGTAACTAAGGGGCAAAGGGAGTGGTGTCCCGCTGGCGCTCGGGGTCTCCTGTGACCGCGATTGCAGCAGATGTGCAGGGAGTGTGGGGCGGTGGGCATAAGCTCCCCCAGGGGGCTGGTGTGCAGGTGACAGCTATAACCTGGTGGTAGCTGCAGGGGGTGGGGGTGTAGACAGGAGTGGGGTGATCAACGTCTGGGGAGAAGGCCCAGCCCCCCGGAATTGCAGTCACTGTGAGAGTGAGCCACAGCAGCTGGTGGCCAGGGACATCAGCCTCCCTCCTTCAAGCTCAGTCCCTGGAGCAGGAAGCTGAGGGGATAGCTGCTTCCTCCAGCAGCTAGAGCCCTGGCTGCTACTCCATGGATTCTGGATATGGTTCCTGGGATACTGCCCCTGGAAAAGGCTCGGCCCAGCCCAAGGGAGGGAGTGGACTCCAGCCTTCTGGAAAGTCAGCAAGGAGCTCTAGGGCTCACGGAGCCCTGCAGAGGTGGACTGGTAGGTGGTTCCCAACATCTCAAACCTGGGGCATGGGTGGTACGTGGCTGCCACCAGGGCCTTCACCCCTGGTGATGCCAGCTCCCCGTGGAGGGGTGATCCCAACCTGGGAAGTCCAGGGTAAGAGCTGGGCTCAAGGCAACAGAGATGTGTCCTCCAGAGTGACCAGGAGGCCAGGAAGCACCCTGTGACAAGTGCTCCACCCCAGGTGCCAGCCTGAAGCCAGTGACCCCAAAGTCGGAAGCCCAGCTAAGGGACAGTGGTCCCTGTGCTTCCAAGAGCTTCAGAACCTGAATTGCAGCCCCAAGGCCCGGGCCACCTCTTCTCTGCATGGTCCGGGGTCTGCTGGGTCTTCAAAGCTGTAGATAGGACCTTGCCCAACACCCTGTGCAGGAAAGTCCAGCTCCCTGGCCCCAAGACATAGGGTGGGCAGGGGCTTACCCAAGATCACGTAAGTTGGTGGCAGGCCAATGTCTCCCGATACACCTACTTGGGGGTGCCTTCTCCCTTGGCCCCAGGGGTCCTGCTGCCCAAACCCAGGGGCTCTGCAGCCCAAACCCAGGGCTGAGAATCCGTCCAACCTGCCCCAAGACACACAGTCTTCCAGGTTAACAGAGGATGTGGCTTCTTGGAGCCAGGGCCACTCAGCAGTCTTGGACCAGAGAGGGTGGGTCCCTGGTGGTTGGTCACACAGGAAGTTTTGGGGCAGGGCCGCAGGCCTGGGATGCTGTAGGATGCTTCCCAGGTTAGGTGAGAGCAAGGGTTCTTCACTATCCCAGCGGCACCTAAGGAGAGGAGGGTGTGATTTCAGAGTTGGGGCACTGGGGGGCCCACCCGAGGCGTCCCTCCTCACTTGCCCTGCTGTTTGGGGAATCCGACTTGCTCCTGGCTCTGGGACCATGAGCCTGAGCTTGCACTGCTGGGAAGCCGCAGCCTCCAGGCCAGGCCCTGAGGGAGATCACAGTACAAGCTGGGCCCTGGCACCTCTAGGAGGATTGGGGAGGACAGAATCCGGACAGAGCGGGGAGTTCCTGGCCAGTCCCAGCCTCGACCTATGCCCTCAGCTCTTCCAAGGAAGCAGGCATCTGATTTACTGGAAGGAGGCCACTCCCCCTCACATAGCTCCGTCACTGACTGGGCAGCATTTCAGGAGTCAGGGTTGGTGGGATGAACTCAGGCAACCGGCAGCTGGGCAGGAGTGTCCCTGTCCCTTAATGCTGCTGTGTCCCCTCCTCAGCCTACACTCACCGCCTCAGACCTTCATGGATTGGGGCGGCAGCACCAGCTGGTTCACCCTGAGGGAGAGACAGGCGGGGGTCAGGGTGGCGCGTCAGCGGGGGCCGGGCCCGGGCACGGTTCTGGCACATCGCATCACTGGGGCTGGCTGACCGGAGGTGCTGGGCAGGGACCTCGTCAGCCCCAGGGGGAGGTGGGAGAGCCCAGAGGTGGGAGAGAAGGAAAAGAGGAGTAAAAAGAAAAAGAGAAAGAAGTCAGAAAATGAGAGGAAAAGGTGAGGAGAAGGTCTCAGCTCTGAAAACCTGTAGCTCCAGAAAAAACCCACATCCTGTACAGCATGCCTGGTAGCTGCCACCCTGGGCCGCATGTGTGACAGGCTTTGAGCTAGGGCCAAGCCATGGTGGGCTGGGCCCTGGATCCCAGCAGCAGGCCATCCACCCTCACCCAAGGTGCAGAGGAGGCCATTGTAACCCTCCACACACACAGCACAGCAGCAGGCACATGCAGGGCTATCACAGTTGTTTCCCAGCTAAGGCAGCCAGCCCAGCCCCTGCCCACTCACTGCTGCTCAGCCTTGGCACGGTCGCTGAGGAAGAAGAGAGCGGTGGCAAGGAAGAACATGCCACCCAGGACCACGACGAAGGGGCAGAGCATGAGGGCGTAGCCCAGGCTCAGGAACTCCCATAGCGGGGAGTCCTTGGTGCTCTGGCGAATCAGGTCCGAGATCTGTGAGGATTGGGAGGTGGGCGTCAGGTCAGGGCCACCTCCCAAGGCCCCCAACCACCCCAGGCTATCCCCGACACTCCACTACCGCCAGCCACTCACAAAGCCGATGAGGTAGGGGCTCCCTGCGTCGCCCAGCAGGTGGGAGGTGAAGCTCTGCAAGGCCACAGCGGTGGCTCGCCGGGTGGGGATGACCACATACTGCAGGACAGATAGGCAAGTCAGGGGCCAGAGGGGCCAGGCCCACCCCTGCGGCTGTGACACTTCTGAAGACCCCACAGTCCCCACAGCCCTACAGCTCTCGCCCTGGTGTCTTTACCCCGGCCGCTCCCCATCTCTGGCTGCTCTTCCCCACCTGCCCTCCTACCTGCCCAGCCCAGACCCTTCTAACCTCCCCGCCGACTCCACCCCAAGCAGCCATCTCTGTCTTCTCCCCAGCCACATCCAGGTGGGAAGAGTAAGGTGAGGTCCCCTCGTAGTGGTTGGCACGGGCTTAAAGTCACAGATTAGCGCACCCTCCCATAGCTGAACTGTCACGAATAACAGAGCTGCCTCCTCCCCACCTGCCCCAGGGACCAGGCTGCCATCAGCTTTGTAGTTGGCTCCTGGGGAACAGCCAGGTACCGTGGTCAGGGGATACTGAGGCCCAGGGAGGTGCCAGTCCCCAGGGGTCACATGGAGTCATGTGCTTTGGGACTGCCAACCTGGCCTCTTGCCCTCCCACAAGTTAAATACCTCTTGGTTCCCCCTCCATGAGGACTGTGCAAGGCCGAAGTTGGCCTGGGACGGGGACCGGTGCGAAGTAGGACCCTTGCCTGGAAGAGCCTTATCTGAACAGATGGGTGCCCCTAGCACCAAATGCCAAGAACTCCTGGGAACCAGGCTCCCTACCACCTACCCACCCTTAAAACTGAGCAAGTCCTGACCAGCTCCAAGTCAGACAGGAGGGGCTGGGGCAGAGCAGCTGAACAGGCAGCACCAGCCCACCGGGTGTCCCTGGGCACCCCTGCCCCTGAACTCCAGCTACTTTCTCAGTCCAGGACACCGGCCTCCATGGACAATGTGCAGGCAGCAGCCCCACAGGGCACCCTGTCAGCAATAAGAAGACAGGAAGAGACCTGGATCTGATGAGACTGCATGGCCTCGTTTCTAGTAATAATTAGTCACTAAGCCACACTTAATAAACTGGGGCATGATTTCCCTCGGACCCAGACCCTGTCAGCAGCTGTCAGGGGCTGCCCCTGGGGATGCAGACAGGGAGGGGCCTGCTGCCCAGTGCCAAGGGCACTTGGTTCAGACAGACTCAGTCCCCCATCACTCCGGGGTTGTGCAGTGACCCAGCCTACGCTGCCACCAGCAGCTCCATTCTGAGGCCCAGAGGTGAGTCAGACCCCACCACCTCCACCCCAACCGTGGACTAGGGGACAGGGACCAGCCAGGGAGAAGCACATACTCAAGGATGCTTGGGTGGACAAGGCAGACTTCCTGAAGCAGAGGGACTAGCAGGGGCCCAGTGCCTGGCCAGACTCTGACCTCCACGGCTGTCCCCTGAGGTCACACCAGACCTCAAACACCCTGAGGATCTTTCTTCCCCTGGCCCTGCCCCTCCAGACACTCTCCCACTGTTAGTCCTCTCTGCACTTTCTGCTCCCAGTTCTCTCCTGACGCTGCCCGGGAGGATCCCCAAGGACGGAACAAGGGACACACCCACCCCTGCTTTCCCCCCAGAGTGCCACAAGCTCCTAAGTCCACTGCCCCCTTCTGGTTCCTCCCAGACTGCTCCCGTCAGGCCTGGGGACACAGGCCCCTGTCCACTCTTCAGATGGCCCTTTGTCCCTGGCCGGCTGGTCTGCAGCCCATTGTTGGCCCTGTGAAGACGGCCTCTGTCTGGCTGGCCCAGCCGCAGGCACCCGAGCAGGCACGCCTGGGACCCAGGCTGAGCCGGGAGGGCAGAGCCCACGGATGCTCGGCCCTTGGGGGGAGGAGTGCTGGCAGGCAACACCACCTCAGTGCCAGCCTGGCACTGCCAGCCTCTCAGCACAAACCTGAGCCTTGAGACGATGCCCTCCCTGCCCTGCCCCACACCCCACCTCATCTGCCTGCTCATCCCTGTTTGCAGCCCCTGATGCAGACCCCAAAACCTCCCTGCCTCTGAGATCACCTTCCCGGCAGGCCTCCCTGCCAGCTCCCCCACCTCCTCACCCGCCCTCCCTTGCTGCTCCTGTGAAGTCAAAAGGCCTAGGTCAGCACAAGGTGACCCCAGCCTGCCTGGCTCACCATGAGGATGTCCGCAGTGATGGCCCAGTTAGAAAACAGCAGCGTCTCCCCGACAAAGATACAGATCTGCCCAGGAGAAAAGAGAGCAGCCATCAGGGGCCTCTCCACCCCCCAGCGGTCCCAGATGCCCCTGCACCCTGGCTGCTGGCCAGGAGCCCCCAAAGCTTCCTACCCCTCCTCAAGGGCCCCACCTCCTCCCAGTCAGGTTCATGAGGAACTGGTGGATTACCCAGAGAACTCGAGCCGTGCCCACAGGACACCCAGAGCCCTGGACAGGTGGTGGACAGAGCAGGGGCAAGCAGCCAACGGACAGAAGCCTCCCCATGAGGACAGAGGGCCCAGCAAGTCAGACTTCATTTCCGGTCCAGCTCCAACCCTTCTCCCCTCGACCCCTGTTCCCTGCCCCCACTACACTCACATAGGCGCCCACAATGCTGCTCTTGGCCGCCACGAAGATGAGGCAGATGAAGATGGCGGAGCCCAGCATGCCCACAGCACACACCAGTGGATCGGCCCTCTGGGTCCGCAGGCGGCACCAGCGTGTAGCACCTGCACCCGTGACCACGCCCAGAAAGCCAGTAAAGCAGGTGATAGCCCCGAAGATGAGGCTGTGGAGAAAGAGGACGTTGGGTACAGGTTGGGAGGGTCAACAACTGGAGCAGAGGGGTTCCCCTGTCCGGTGTCCCTCTCCAGCCACCCCCGCGCCCAATGGCCAGGCTCACCTGTCCTTGGCCCCACAGGGCGGGCTATTGCAGGTCTCCGCCGTCTTCTGTACAACTTGGGCACGGTGCAGGTAGAGTGGGATCCACATGCCCAGGGCCCCTGTGGCGAAGGACACAGCCGACGTGGCCAGGGAGGAGAAGACGTAGCTGCGGCTGGGGAGAGGCCAGGGCAGCAACACTGAGCTGGGCCGGGACCCTCTTCAGCTGCGACAGACAGCCCACCTCCGGGCCCAGGAGGCTGCCTCCTCTCCCCCAGCTCACTGCAGCGTCTCCTGACAGAGAACCGAGATGCCTCCCCCACAGGCTCCGGGGCGGGTTCAGGCTGCGGGAACAGTGCACTGCAGCGGCCACAACCACAAGCAGCGGAGCTGGCAAGCAGTGGGAAGGGGGCGCCCTTGTTGCGGCACCCCTCCCTCTGCCCGCCAGCCTGCTCCACAGTACTCACTTCCGGATCAGGGCCTTCATGTCTCGCAGCCACGAGGTCCGTGCCTTGAGCTGCCCCCCGAGCTGGTCAGCATGGCCTCTCTTAGTGGCTGGGACCAGGATGAGGATGAGGGTTCCTGTGATCATGCCCAAGACGGGGGACACCTGGCAGAGGGTAAAGCATGAAGTTAGGACACAGAGCCCAGTCAGCTTTGTCTTTGCCGCACTAGAGGGGGCCGGGCAAGCCGCACCTTCCCTGGGCTCTGGGCCAGTGTCTGTCCAGCCCTCCTGATGGGCACAGCCAGTGGGGGCGAGGTCAGTGAGGGGCCCAGGGGCTCAAAATGGAGTCTTCAGACCCGGGAAGGATGCGAAAGAAGGTGCAAGGCAGACTGACGAGAGGAGGGAAGCGACAGATGAATAGAGAGATGGATGGACAGATACAGGAGAGAGGTGACTGAGCGGATGGGTAGAGAGTACACGGAAAAGCAGACGGGCAGATGGAAGGAAAATGGGTGGGCAGATGGGTGACGAAAAGACAGATAGATGGACGGACGGATGGGATGATGACTTGGAGGGAGGAGAGAATTGCTGGGGGAGACCAGCCCCGCCCTGCTCTCTGCGGCTGGGAATGTTTCCCAGGTGAGTCTCTAGCCCTGGGACGCACTGGGAAGGGAGGGGCCAGGCCTGGAGCCTCCTGCCCATAAGTCAGGTAGACTCCTTTGGGAGGGGTCTGTGCAGGCCCCATGCATCTTCTCTGCGGCCACCCTCACGCCAGTAAGAGAATCTGCAAAGCCCCAGGACTCCGCACAGAGGGACCTCTGGACAGCCTGGACTCCAACACACCGCCTTCCCCCACCCCCTCCCCCAGGCCCAGGAGCCTTGAGCTGGTTCCTCTCCATGCCACCCCTCTCTGTCCCCACCAAGAAATTCCACGGAGGCTGCTTCCTTCCTGCTTTTGAGGAAAAAACACTTTGTCTTAAGCTTCCGCTCTGCTGGGAGATGGAGATCTCTGTTTCCTCCGATTGCACTATCCTGGGGCCTTGGTAACTGTCCCCCAAGCCTCTGGCAGGACAGGAAATGGCTCCAAGGGGCCCCACACAGAGGTCTTGTCCCAGCCTTGCCCTAGCACAGAGAAGAGCTAGAAGCCGGAAGCTCTGTCGTGGACCTGGAATTTCCTGACATGGAGAGAGAAGGCTTCATCCTCTCAACCTGGGGCTCCCGAGAGAGGTTCCAAACCTTGGACGAAGGCCCTGAGACTGAACTGCTCTGATTCCCCAGACAGCTCAGTGCATACTGATGTGGGTCAAGACTTCAGAGCCCGGGCTGGTGAGGAGAACCCCTGGAGGTCCAGGCTGGTGCCCTGGCATCTCTGGTACCCCTGGGACAAGAGCTGGACTGAGCATGACCTCCTGGCAGGGGAGCTGGGCCTTACCCGAAGGGCCCAGTGCCAGTCTCCGGCAGCCTGCTTCACGCTGGAGCCAGTGATGTAGCCCAGGCCACTGTAGAGAAGACAAACACCCGTCAGGCTGAGCAGAGACAGGGACCGGGACAGGAAATCCCAGAGGCACGAGGCAGGTTGCACGCCTCCCCACCCAGCTAGCTGGTCCGGCCGGCATGCTCCAAGGCTGACCGCAAGCATGTGTGGCTGAGGAAATGCTCCAAAGTCCAGCGGGGGACCTCGCCCAGATCCTCACCCAAACCCTGGCATCTCGGCTCTCACCTTCCAAGAGGGATGGCAAAGTAGAAGACAGACAGCATGAGGGTGCGCGTGTTCTTGGTGAAGAGGTCGCCGATGATGGTGGGCGCAATGGTGGAGTAGCTGGCCTCGCCGATACCCACTAGACCCCGGGACAGGACCAGCAGCCAGAAGTACTGTGGGTGGGGTAGAGGATGCTAGGGCACTGTGCTGCCCCTCGCTCGGCCCGCTCACCCTTGCTCCCGTTCTGACCCCACCCCCGCAGGCTCCAGGAGCCAGGGAAGGGGACGCAGCCCAACCCTTGCCTGAGCAGTGAGCGCATCCTCAGGGTACGCCGGGCCTCAGTGTGCCCCTTTGTATGGCAGCTCTGATCCAGGCTGGACTTTCCCAGCTTGAGAGCTGTCTGGCTTAGACAGGCTCTTGGTCCCTCTAAGCTGTGTCTTCACCTAGGAGAGTTTCTCCCTGGTCCTGGCCCCACCTCAGGAGCCGCAAGTCACCCCTCACCCTGTGCCCCTCCCCCAAGCAGGGTACTGGGCCAACCCTGGCAGCACTGAGGGGCCAGTGTGAGAGGGGAGTGGGCACGGCGGCCCATTGGGCTCAGGGTCCCTCCCACACACACATCAAAGGGCAAAACCGGCGGAGCAAGGAAGGGTGGGGCCCTGCCAGCTGCTGGTGGTCCTACCGCTTTGATGTGGACCTGCCCTCTCAGTCACCCGGGCTGCCCAGGGCCTGAGAACCCAGCCTGGTCATCGTTCCCCGGCTCCGCCCTGGCCACCCATCCGGCCAGCACTGCCCACATCCAGCCCTCCCTCAGGGTCTTCCCAATTCCCGCTGCGACAGCCCTGCTGGCTCCTAGCTGGTGCTGGCCTTGCACCTGACCCCTTCTCTGTCCCCCGGGCTGTCTGTCTTTCCTTAGCGCCTCGCTTGTATCTTTTCCTGGGAATCGCCTGCCCGCCGCCTTTGCCTGCTTTTCTGTTGGGTTGCTTGTCCTTTTTTGTGTTGATTTCTATTAGCTTTTCCTACACCACGGGGCTGATCCTTCATCCTCTGTGTCACCCGTATTTTCAATCATCTTTCTTTCCCACTTTCTGGCGAGTTCCACCACTCCCAAGCTTCTTGATGTTCTCTTTCACCTGCTGCAATCAAATCTGTCGATTCTTCCTTAATGCCTCGTTTAGGAAGAGGCCTAGTCTCTCCCCAAAACATAGAAACAGCCTCCTCTATTTTATATTTGTTATATTTCAGAGAGGCTGGGATGAGTAGCATCCACCGTTCCCAGCACACTAGCAGGCAAAAGGGACCCTGTGTGTCCCCACCCCACCGCTCGAGCCTGCTGGCTTGTGTGCCCGCTGTGAAGCCCCCTCTGCCTTGTTGCACACTTAGGTACCAATAAACAGCACTTAGCGTCCTCTGTGTGCTTGTAAAAAATAAACATAAAAGGGACCATTCCATGCACTTCATTCTGCCACACAGCTTTTCCCTCCTTCTTCTCTTTTTTGCAGCCCGTGTATGCTGGTTACTTTAAATCTAGTTCATTTTTATGCTATCCAGAATTGTAGTATGAATACACCCCATTTATCTGTGCAGGCCCCATGGTGGTCATTGGCACTGCTTCCTCTTTTAGTTTTTCATTTTCCCCCCATGCTTTCACACACTAAGCTACATCTTAGCCTTCTCCTAAATGACTAAGTTACCCAGGCTGGGCTCAAACCTACCTTCCTCCTGCCTCAGCCTCCTGTAGTGCTGGGGTTACAGGTGTACACCACCATGCCTGACGTATTTTTTATTTTTGAGATAGGGTCTCACTACATCGCTCAAACTGGTCACAAACTCATGAGATCAAGCAATCCTCCCACCTTATCATCCCAGAGTAACTGGAACTGCAGCCGTGTACGCCAGTGTGATCTCCAAAGAGGTTCTACCAATTTACACTCCCACCAGCGGCTCCTGAGACCGGGATTCCCCACAGCTGTAATAACACTTGGTATTGTCAGCCTTTTTAATTGTTACCAATCTGATGGGTGTGAGATGGTGTCTCATTGTTGTTTTAATTTGCATTTCCCTGATTACTTAAGAGGCTGAGCCATCTCATCCTACATTTATTGGCCATTCGGGTATCTTCTCCTGGAATGGCCTGTAACTACCCTTTGCCAGTTTTTCCACTAGGTTATTTGTCTTTTTCTTATTGGATTATAGTTCCAGATTTTTAGATCTGGCTTTGGCATTAGTTTCACCCGTCTGGAATTTACTTTGCAGTATGGTTTGAAATATAGGCCAAACCTTTTTTATTCTTTTTGAGGGGTTTTGTTTTGTTTTGGAGGGTATTGAGACAGAGCCTCACTACGTAGTTCAGGCCGGCTTTGAACTCACTATGTAACCCAGGCTGACCTCAAACTCACAGCAATCCTCCTGCATCAGCCTCCTAAGTGCTGGGATTACAGATGTACACCACCTCGGCTGGCCAAACTGTTTTTCCCCCAGATGGTTGGTCAGTTCTTTCCAAACCACTGATCTGAGATGTAATTTCATCTTACACTAATCTCAAGAGATACAAGGACTTGATTTCATTGATCTCTTCATCTATCCCTAACTGTTTTAGTTAGAAGAGCTGTGTTTCAGGTTTGGGGTTTTTGTTTGTTTGTTTGTTCATTTGTTTTTGAGTTTTGTTTGTTTGCAGTACTGGGGTTTGCACCCAGGGCCTTCACACTGAGTAACATCCCCAGCTCTTTTTTATTTTAAGATGGGTCTCACTAAATCACTAAACTGTCCAGCCTGGGGTTGAATTTGCAACTCTCCTGGCTCAGCCTCCCAGAGTGCTGGAATTACAAGCATGCACCAGAATGCCTGGCTCAGTAGCTGTGATTTTGAAATACCCGAAAGGGTGAATCCCCTTTCACTGTCATTTTTTGCATTGTTTTTGGCTATTCATGGGGATTTTCTCTGCCAAATTCAGAATCACATTGCCAAGGTCCACCAGAAACCCCCACAGAGCAAGGAGTGTAATTGCAATGAACTCACAAATTACTGTACTGGGGAGCAATCTGTTTTTGTCTCTCCCTCTTCTCAGCTCCTCTCCCCAGCTCAGAGTGGGGGCCAACAGCCCAGGTCAGGACAAGGTCGAAAAGAGGCCCTAGAGATTCCTATTTTCTACCGAAGCCTCCAAACTCTACCTGGCCCGGGCCTGTAGGCCTGACCCTCCTGCATGAAACCTGTCAGCTCTCTGCCCTCGGTTCTGCTCTCCCTTCCATCAGCAGGAATCTGATCAGTCCTCGTCCTTCTTCAAACTCTTCTAGGGCCCCCACTGCCCCAGGAGGATGTCAAAACCCCCTGCCCTGGCTCTCAAAGCTCTGTCTGACCTGGTCCCTGCCTTCCTTTCTGGCCAAGACATCTCTTCCTCCTCCCCCACCTCCCTACACACTGCCATTCTGCACCTAGGGGTGTATCTCCTCTGCCTGTGCCACCTTCGCCAAAAGGCCTTGCCTCCCAGTCCCTCTCCCTGCTTCACATGCAGCCTCCTCCAGGAGGTCTTCCCTGACCCCTTGGATTCCAAGAGACTGCTCTTTCTTCAAGGAGGACTCAACACTTTGCGAGTCTTGAATGCTCCCAGTTGGGAGCTCCTGTCACATCCTCCTACCCAGGAGCCCAAGGACCGGCAGGACTCAGGGTTCTTGACGACAGATCTTGGTTTTGTCTCCTCCTTCCTCCGCCTTCTACTTGAACACTCCTAGCAATGGGAAGCTCCTTACCCACACAAAGCAACATAGCTCCTCTTTAGAAGAGAGACGAGCTAAAGATTTGTTAAATACTTGCTGTGTTCCAGGGTCCGGACCTGCATTAGTTCATTTCTCATGAGAAACCTTCAAGCTGAGAAGCATTAGCCCCATTTTAACGATGAGGAGACTGCAGAGGCTAAGTACATTTCTCTAGGTCACAAACTGAGTGAGCAACAGAGCTGGGATATTCTAATCCAGGACGTTAAGAGCCATTTGAGAAGCATCTTTATGTTGAATTGATGCTTGCCTCCCTGGGACTTAGACCCAAGGCATTAACTGTTCATCAAAGGGGCAAGAACCAGAGAGGGAGGGAGGGGTAGAGACTCACTGAGGTCCACACAGCAAGATAATGGCACTCCCTTCCAGGCCAGACTTGCCTCTTGTCCAAGTCAGAGGGCAGCTTGAGAAGAGTGAGGGTGCTACCCAGGGCTGCAAGGCCCTGGTAAAAGATGGCCTAGAGGAGGCCCTTTGTGTAGGGTTGGTTTACAGAAGCACCCAAGGGCACCACCAGTGTCCCTCTGCACTGGGAAGGCACTGTCAGGGGCTCAAGCTAAGCGAAACAAAGGCTAGCCACCCACCGGGGCCCGGGACATGGGGATAGGAAAAGCAGGGACCCAGTTGGGCAGCGGGGTGGGCCTCACCTGCTGGGGGATGAAGGAGCTGGAGAAGGTGACCGCCGACCAGAAGAAGATGCCACAGCTGAGGATCACCTTCCTGTTGAAGCGGTCCCCCAGGTAACCGAAGATGGGGGCGGCCACCATGAAGCTGCAGATGAAGACTGCAGGGAGAGGAGAGCTGCAGAGGCGGCCCGGTTCCCCGCACCAGGCCCAGGGACCCGTTCACCCCAGGCTTGAGGACACGAGCCTGCGAGATGAACCTCAGGCTGGGCCGGGAACCGAGGAAGCAGCCGCAGGGCCGGCATCCTCAGCTGGGCCAGCACAGGGCAGGTGGGCAAGGCCTTCCCGGGCTAGGGTGATACCATGATTCTACCTCTTCCATGCTTACCCAGCTCGTCCACTTTAGGGGATCCCTTCGGGCACTTTCTACATGCCAAGCGCTACAGTGGGGCTCCCCACAGTACCTATAGAGCTGCCTAGCCCACTGCCTACTTCACAGACTTAGAGAGGGGGTGACTTGCTGACACCCCACAGGCAATTAATGTCCCAGGGGGAATCTGACCCCTTTCTGTCTAACTCCATAGCCTCTCTGACTTTTGCACAGCATTCTCTTTATTACACATGGGAGAGAGGTTCAGAAAGGGAAAGGACTCTACCTAAGGTCACAGAGCAAACCAGGACAGAACTGGGCCTAAAACTATCTGCCAGGTCACAGAGGCACACTCACTCCCAGGGGCTTCAGAGGTTTGCCTGACAGTTGGAAACCCTGATGTCATGCATTCACAGATCTGTCCATCCATCTAGTCATTTTTTTTTTTTTTCACCTACACTGCACTATACACTGTGTTAAGGTTAGGGATACATCAGTGAATGAGACAAACTAAATTCCTGGCCATGGCGGAGGTTTCATTCTAGTGAGCACAAATAGACCATAAATAAATAACACACTGCATCAGGGAATGACAGGTGCGGAGAAAGGTAAAAGAGCAGAAACAGCAGATAAGAAATATACAGTACTGGTGTATCGGAGAGACAGAGCAGATGTTGTATTTTCATGCAGGAGGGCCAGACTGGGAGAAGTAAAAGAAAAAACCGTGCAAATATTGAGGCCAGAACACCAAGGGCAAAGGTCCTGTGGACAGAAGCGCACATAGCATGGAACCAAAAAGAGGCCAGGGGGCTGGAGCAGAGGGATGGAGAGGGACAGGGGTAGCAGACAAGGATGCGAGGCCCGATGGGGTAGGAGTTTGTGGCCCACTCTGCCTAGTGTGGCTTCCATGGATAAAGAAGGAAAATTCGAAAGGGCGCTAATGAAAGGAGAGACATGATTTTGTTCTTCTGGCACAGGAAAGCGGTAGTCTTAGAAGACTTCATGAGAAGGCCCTGTCAGTAATGGGAGGGGACTCGGAGGTCCAGGTGGGATGAGGAAGCCTAGAACAAGGCAGGGCAGACCCTGAGTCACACAGCAAGGCAGACCCCTTCTCCCCCTGGACACCAGTCCCACAGCTGACGGGCAGATGGCCAGACAAAGGCGGGGGTGGAGTGGGCAGACGGTTGGCCTCTGACCGTCAGGCTGGACATGTGCATGGGTGTGACCACTCCCCTGAGTTCCTGGGTGAGATGAGCCGAGGAGAGGAGAAAGAGGTAGAGGAGCAGGGAGGGACAGAGGGCTGGAGCGGGGGTGCCCTGGACGAGGCAGTAAGACCGTGTGACTGTCTTTCTCTATCCAGGCCACAGCAGGACAGGGAGGTGGCTGGGTAGGTGGGGGACCTGCTAACCTAATTCTGTGTGATCTAGGGAGTTGGGCAGAATCAGCACAGAGGTGGGGCTCCAGCGACACACTGTCTGGGCATAAATCTCCCTCTGTACCTTCCTAGATGGGCAACCATGTCCAGGTCACAACCTGTCTGTGTCCCAGCTTCAGGGGTGTGCTGGTACATGTGCAACAATTGGCTCTCTGCACAGGAGGCAGAGGGGGAGACCTACATGGAGGGTCGGCTGCTCTTCACGGTGTAAACCCTTCTGCTGCGGTGGATGTCAAGCCACCAACGAGATATCACTAACAGGAGCTGAGCAGAGTCTCTACTGTTCAGACAAAATAATGTGATCAACCTTGGGAACATAGCTACTAGCCAAGCATAGTAAAATAATTAGGAAGCGGTAACTTTTGAGTATGTATTACCCTTTTAAATATGAATTTATTTAATTGTAAGTTTATGTAATTTTGTGTCTAACAATGGCTCTCTCTAATAAGCAGCTCACACAATTCCTGAAAATTTAACAATTGACTCTCCTGAGCTGGTATCAGCCAGCTCCAGCATGCCAACTTCCTCATCTGTAAAACGAAGATAAAAATAGCAACTCCCCTGGGCTGCTCCAATATTGGATGAGCTAACGTGGGGAAGGTGCTTTGCACCACACCCCGCCTGCAGCTGGGGCCCCGGCTCAACACTAAGCCTTTGTTTACCTTCACTAAGGTAGATATTATTGCTTCACATCAACAGAAAGAATGTTTTCCTGCCGGACCTGCCTCCCAGGACCTGCCCGAGATCAGATGGGGATATGGGCAGGAAGGAGCGTTCAGTCACTTCCGAACTCACACGTTAGGGGGAAGAGGACGGATTGCTTTCTGTATACCTGTCCGTGCAAGGTAGGGAGTGGACAGACTCAGAGGAAGAGATGCTGCTCCCTGCCTGTCTGTCAGGGGTTGGGGGGGCAGAGCACATTCATGGGGTGCCCAGCTTAAAAAGCTAAAATGTTGGGGAATGAGCAAGGGGCACCAAAACCTGCTAGATAGTGAGGAAAGACTTCATGGAAGTGGTAATGTCAAAGTTGGGCATTGAAGCATGCACAGGAGTTTACCATGGTGATTATCCTACTTAAAATCCATAATAAAACACAAATCCCAAATCTTATAAGCAGTATTGTATAAGGGTTAATGAGGCATAATGCTTTGTACTTGCAATTATCATTTATAGAGCGCTTATAAAGGCAAAGCCCAGGGAAGCACCCTTGACACATGCACCGATTATCTCTTA